CGCTCACAGCCTCTGCTATGTTTCAGGGCCTGTCATGAAGAACTTCAGGACACCAACTTATGCCAGAGTCCATCCCATCTCCAAGTCATTCTACACCACAAATGGCGCCTTCAACTTTCCACGGCGGACAGACCAGGTCATGTGAACTGGGCGGCGGTGGCTGTCCTTTTTGGGGGCTCCACCGGGACTCTCTAGAGGAAGACGGAGCTAGCCGGCCTCACCTTGCTCTGCGTTCGGTTGAGCTCTGCCCCCTTGGCTACAGGAGTTGGGTAGGAGGGAGGGCAAGCATGCCTGGAAGATGTACTGGCGGCTCCCTGGGGCTCTTGTCTCTGTGCACAAACCTCCACTCCTGCTCCAAAACTACCCAAGCCCCACCCTCACTAGCAAGTGTGGGCCTGATCCTTTCCTGGGGACCCCAGGTGGGGGGGGGTGGGGGGGTTCTCAAAGCTCTATCAGCAGGCTTGGATAAGAGAGGGACTTGCTAAGTCCTCAAGATGCTAAGGGAAGTAAATTTCTCCCTCTTCTTCATGTCCCTGCATCTTGTTGAAGGGATTCCTAGCCGGGTTTGTGTGGTCCTAGTGTAGTTTACAGTTAAGAAGTAGCTTCCTTTGCAAGTTGTTGCTTTTCTCACTTCTTAGAGGTTAGCCAAAGCTCCCTTGCTGCTGTAACAAACACCCCTGAAACCTCAGTTTCTTACACCAACAAAGTTGTCATTTTTCTACCACGGTCTCATGTGATGTTTTGTGGATACCCTCTCTCATGCCAGTCAGAAGAGAGGCTGTTTCCCCCCACCCCCTACCTTGCCTGGTCACATGACTTCTAGGTGGGAACCAGAAGCCCAAGAAGAGAGGAAAAGATGCCCTTACAGCAAGATCATCTCTGTTCCAGAGCCTGGTGTAGCCACTGGTTGCCCTATGGATGAATTCTAGGCATAATCACCACCTCAAACTCAACATCGCCTCCTCCTGTGTTCATTTTCTCTGGCTACTATACCTGGTTGGGATAAGATCACAGAAGTTCACTATATCAGGTTTAGAGGCAAGGGGTTCAAAAATCAACGTGGTATCAGGGCTGTGTCCCCTGTGACAGTTATGGAGGCGTCTGGTGGCTTGCTGGAACTCTAGTACTCCGTAGCTTGCATCTACATGGTGGTCTTTGCTGGGCACTGGACACTGGTGGCTCACACCTGTAATCGTAGCAACTCAGGAGGCTGAGAGCTGAGGATTAGGGTCCTCAGCCAGCTTAGCGTAGAAAGTCTATGAGACCCTTATCTCCAATTAACCACCAAAAAAAGCCAGAAGTGGAGCTGTGGCTCAAGGGGCAGAGTACAAGTCTTGAGCAAACAGTCTGTGGGACAGTGTCCGGGCCCTAAGTTTAAGCCCTAGTACTGGCACAAAATAATAAAACTAAACATGGTCTTCACATGCCATCTTCCAATCATGTGGGATTAGGGTACTCATGTCACTCAATATGACCTCTTGTCTGCAATGACTTTCTTTCCGAATCAGGGCATGCTCTGAGCCAGTGGCCGTGATGATGTATCTTTTTGGAGGAACACAAAACCATCACACCTCCCTTCTGGCTGCCAGTTCTCCGTTACTGGGGCCAACTTGCTAGGTTTCCTTCTCTCCTTGGAAAGGGTTCTCAAGCAAAACCCCAGACACATAAAAGATGGCCCCCAGAGCCTGTAGCATCTCATTGTGTAGAAGCCCCAGCATGGAAGGAGCCCAAATCATCATCCTCAAAGGGCGCAGCTCTTGGCCAGACCACAATGCTAGTGGTAGGCCTTGCTGAAGCAGACCATCCCTGCCTGGCTAAAAGGGCAAACCCTCAGTCTAGACAAAGAGTAGCACGTAGAGGATCACCCCTGGAGGAAATCTCCAGGTCCCTACTGCTCTGTTCCTCCGCCTGCAACCTCACAGAGGCCTTAGACCCTTAGAACTTCAAATACAACCAACTGGCCTGGTTTTCTCTAGTCAGCCTTGCCAACCATTCTGAGTGAGAACTTGCAAGGGGCTCCCATGGAAATGGGTTCTTCTGAAACACACGTGGTTGCCTTGAATGCCAGAGCAGATGGGATTATTTTTAGTGTTTAGCAGTGAAGGGTTTGAACTCAAGACCTCACACTTGCAGCCACTCTACCATTAGACCCTTACCCACAGTCCTCCTTCAGATTCATGTTTTTGCCTAAGTCCAGCTTTGGACCCAATCTTCCTACCTCTGGCCTTGACATGCACCTGGGATCTCAGTTGTATATGACTGCGCCCGGCTTATTGGTTGAGATGCAGTCTGACTTTTTGCCTTTGCTAGCTTCAAACTGCAATGCTCTCTCACCTCTACTTCCCGAGCAGCTGATGTTCTAGGCCTGAGCTACCAGGCCTGACTACTTGATTAACTGAATACCAAACATCTTGTTGGGTTCTCTGGGGGTCATTGGGTTGAATGCAATAAATATTGATGTAGCCAGGCCTAGGGTGGAATCTTGGGGCCTAAGGGGGCAGATCTTGGAGCACTCAGAATGGAGTGAGAAGCACTGTGTTGAAGCAAGAGGACACCTCTGGGGCACAAATGAAACATCTTTTGCTTCGTCAGTGCTTGGCTCTGGACACGTGAATTACACATCATGATCTCATCAGCCCCATGTGCCTTAGCTGCTTAGAAGACACAACTGCCCCCGTGTAGGCTTTACAAACATATATCAGACACTCCAAAAACGATCTGCGTGGCTGTTTTCTCTGCTATTCTAGGGTGGCACTGTAGGGCTAGTACCATTCTGGAGAAAAGAGGTAGATTCAATACAGGGGTTTAATTCTCTCCAGGTAGCCAGCTAAGGAGGGATGGAGGGATTCTTCATGTATCTAGTGACCACCTGTAGAGTGTTCCTGAGGCGGCTGTAAGCACTCACTGATTCAGTAGCTAGGACCTTGGTGTGTCATCGAACATTTAACAACACACGTGTCTTATCGACCCACTTTGGCACTTGGAATGATTTTTTAAAAAGGTACATTTCAAGGCTTGTCTGACAACAATGTGAAGTATCTCATTAACTATTATTAAATTGAATCATAGCTGGGCGCAGATGGCTCACATCTATAATCCTAGCTACTCAGGAGGCTGAGATATGAGGATCACAGTTCAGAGCTGGCCCAGGCAGGAAAGCCCTTGAAAGTCTTATCTCCAACTAACTACCAAAAAGCTAGAAGTGGAGTTGTGGCTCAAGTGGAAGAGTACCAGCTTTTTGTGGGGGGAAGAGGGAGAACTCAGGGATAGTACACAGGCCCTGAGTTCTAGCCCCAGGACCAGAAAAAAATCATGTATTGAAACCACCACACCTGGATAGATAGGTTAAGTCAGGGGGTCCTAAATAGTGAATATTTTCATCTTTGTGAGGTATCTGGTACCAACCACAGGGACCACTTCACTGGGCTAGTGTAACACAGCCTCAGGCAAGATAGAAACGAGCCATATTGGGACAAATAACTTCTAAAAATAAGAAATACATGGTGGGCTTTGCAGTATGCTGGTCACTGGGTTTAAATTTGTAAGAGAAAATTTCATTTGTTTTTTGTTTTTTTTAAATGCAGTTTCTAGAAGATTTTAAGTTGCATGTTGGCTCACTATGTTTGTGTTGGACAAAGCAACCTAAACACTTTACAAGTGTTAATTGAGAGTGGGCTGTTACTCTGGGCATACGTGGGGTGGGATGTGTAATTCCTAACTGCAAGGGGGCTCAGGCCGCTTCCTTCTTAATTTTCCCAGGTGGCTAAGGGGGAAGTTCTCAGAGAGGCCACCAGGTGGTGCTATCAGACCACACTACTCTTAGTGCACTTCTGACACCCCTTGGCGATGCGTCTTTGAACTCTTAATTTCCTCCCCTGTAAAATGAGTTACACCAAGTTTGTGAAAACATGAACAGCGGAGGCAGACAGATCTGAATTTGAACGGGCCCCTAGGGACTCTGGTGCACATGAAGCTTCAGACTCTCTAGACTAAAAGTCATGGCTGAGAAAGGTGAATTGATGGACCAGGGATCCTCTCCTTCCTGAAGACCACCTCAGTTCCTTGCCTGGGCTAGGGTGGGCAACCTAAGATATACAGGAGGTTTGCAACTAGGTTGAGGATGAGCCCATTCTGTGCCCTCGCACAGAGTTTGCCAGAATGAAAACTGGCACAGGCCAGTCATGCTGTGTGGGCTGCTGGCAAAGACAGAAGCATTTTGTTTTTTCCCTCCAGGACAGAGCATTAGGACTTGTTGACCCCAATTCAAAACCCTACTCAGCAGTCTAGAGGCCAGTGGCCAGCAGTTTGACTCAGACATGTCAGCTGATGGAGGGTTTAGTAAAGCTCAGGAGTACAAGAATAATCTTTTCTGTCTAGGAAAAAGCCCATCTGTGAATAGCTGGCTTGACCCTTTGAAGCCTTGTGGAATGGAGCCTGGAGCCAAGAGTCCATCCAGCCTTAGAGGAGAGCTGACAGAGGGGCTTTGCTATCTGCTCAGGAGAGAATCTCAGGAGAGAATTGGAAAACAGAAATCTCAAACCAGGCACTGGTGTTTCAGGCCTATAATCCTGGCTACTTAGGAGACTGAGTTCTCAGAATCTCCATTCAAAATCAGTCTCTGAGTTAAAAAAAGGAAACAAACAAACAAACTTGACCCTCAGCCCATGCTGGAATTGGAAGGATGCGGAATTAAGAGATGCGGCCTAGTTAGAGGAAGCCCCCCACAGGAGGTGTGGCCTAATCGCTGCTGGTCTCTCTCTGCTTCCCAGGTTGGTGGGGTGAACAGGACATGCACCATCACCCACTCTGCATCGTGACATTCTGCCTCACTATTGGCCCATAAAGCAATGGGGCCAACTGGCCCCATGAGCTAAATGAAACCTTTCTTCCTTTTAACTTGATTACCCCAGGTATTTGTCAGTGCAGAAAGCTGACTGACACACAGAGGTTAATTTCAGTGCTGCAATGTTTAGGGGAGAAAAGAAAGTCTCAGAACATGCTTGTGGTATGCCACACTCTGTATTTTTTAAGGTTACACATGGCGCTCATTTATGCAGGCTCCCTTGGAGGAAGCAGAGGGGCTGCTTCTCAGACAAACTAGGGGCTGGGCCCGGCGTGGCCATGCTTTCTTCTCTTCCTTCTTCAGCACTGCGTGTGCACTGAGACATATTCATGTACTATTTGAATGAGGGGAGAGCATCAGAAGAAGAGAGCAAGAGTTACAAAATAGGGGCTGGGAGTATGGGACAAGTAGTAACATACCTGCCGAGGAAGCATGAGGCCCTGAGTTCAAATTTGAGGAAGAAAGACAGAGAGGGGGGGTGGGGAGGGAGAGAGGGAGAGCGAGCGAGCACAAGCTCCATAGAAATGGGCACCTTGAATACAGGAAAAATGGTGCCATGGTGCTGGACTACAGGAAAGGGTTTTTCTTTTAATCCTTGCTTTCCAGTCAGCCAGAGGGACCTTTGACCTCCCAGGACCCCCTCAGGAGATCTAACAATAAGGATTCCTGGTGACAAATGCAGGGTAGTAAATGTTATAAGGGAGGCATGGGACAGGGGGTGGGAGCACTTAAGCTGCTGAGGCTCTGAGGTAGTGTAGAACACACAGAGTAAAGACCAGAAGAGAGGATGGACACGAACGAGCAGGGAAGAGCCATCCTGCTGGGAAACAACACAAGATGGATGCCAGGTAATCGACACTTTGGTGGCTAGGCAAAGATTGAGCTCACTCTGCCCAGGGAAGGGGGACCTGAGAGCTTATGGGCTGGGGGTGCAAATGAGGAATGGTACAGCATTGTGGTGACTGTGCTGGATGCACTGGAGGAGGAGGATCCCAGGCAGGGAAACCAGGGGAAGATGCCTTCATCTTCATTCTTCACCTCTGTGAGAGCCTAGGGTGGCTTGACTCCAGACATGGAGGGGCAGTCGTAGAACAGGAAATGGTTCAAGTCATGAAGCGTTACGGGGGTCTTGTTGTTCCTGCTCATTTCCCAGAAACAGTATTTCCTTGTGAAGATTGACAGCCGATAATCGTGCTCCTGCAATCTCCCATGTGGCAGTGGTGATGGTGGCGGCAGCTCTAGCTCCAGGCGTCAGGGCCATGGAGGGATAACAGAAGATTTTTCTTCCTGATTTGGCTCAAGGCAGATTTGATGCAAGTGGAAGTTGAAAGCATTTGGACCAGTTATATTTCCTGAGCATGCAAGGAGAAGTTCATACCTGTTATAGCCATTTATTGAGAGGCAAGAAATGGTTAGCAAAGCTGCCCTTGGATCTAGGAGAGATTCCCCTTTCTTCTCTTCTTCAAAGGAACAGACTTTTTGCTGTTGGTGAAGGCCCTTGAAGACTGTAGTCTGAATTCAACTGGAAAATGGTCGCTAACTTCCAGAGCCTGAAAGGAGAAAAGGTAGGTAGATTCAGAGGCCAGGAGATGCCCGGACAAGCTATCAGTTTAGGAATGAGAAAATTCAGAAACAAAGGGAAGATGAATGCATGATATCACCCAGCCAACCAGTGAGCATCATCCTTGATCCAACTTGTTTCCTTGGTCAGGAACATTAGCAGGTTATCAAATGAAGGTTCAGTGGCTCAGTGTGGTGTCTTCCATGGTGAACTCAGAAAGTAACACCAGCCTACCTTTCCAAGATGGTAGCATGGAAGGCAAGGTGCCTGGCTGGGTACTGGTGGCTTATGTCTAGAATCCTAGTACTCAGAAGGCTGAGATCTGAGCACCAAGGTTGGAAGCCAGCCTATGCACAAAAGTCCATATGGCTCTTATCTCAATTAATCAGCAAAAAGCCAGAAGTAGAGATATGGCTCAAGTGGTAGAGTACCATCTTGAGCAAAAAAAGCCAAGCAAGAGTAAGAGGCCCTGAGTCCAATCCCTAGTACAGAAAGAAAGAAAAAGAAAAGGGGAGGAAGGGAAGGAAGGAAGAAAGGAAGGAAGGAAGGAAGCAAGGAAGGAAGGAAGGAAGGAAGGAAGGAAGGAAGGAAAGAAGGAAGGAAGGAAGGAAAGAAGGAAAGAAGGAGGGGAAGGAAGGTGGGAGGGAGGGAGGAGAGAAGGAAAAGGGAAGAAAGATAAGGTGACTGCCTTACCTCCTCTTCAGATAATCCATAAGCTTTTTGGAAGTCAAAGACACCATTTGAGTTGGGAACCACAGAGTCAACAATGTCTCGGCCTCGAAGCACGATCCTGGATCACAGGGAGGAAGACAAACCTGTGAATCCACACTGTGGGTTTCCAAGGTCAAACGTGTGTGTGTGTGTGTGTGTGTGTGTGTGTGTGTGTGTGTGTGTGTGTGTTGTCTGCAACTAACAGCATCCTGGCCCTTTTGTGTGGCACTCCAAGTCCACACCTAGCTGTAGGTTGGGACTCTAGAGGACAGTGCCTATATCTCCAAAACCATCCTGGTGTAAGGACAGGTTTTCTTAATATTTAATTCTTATTGTTATTATAAAGGTGATGCGCTGTGGGTTACAATTATATAAGTCAAGTCAAGAGTACATTTCTTTTTGGACAATGTCATTCCTTCCTTTGCTGTCTCTCAGTTTTTCCCTCTCATCCCCACCCACAAGTTGTGTAGTTCATTTTCCACACAGTGTCTAGTGCGGACCACTGCTGCATTGTTCAGCCTCTGAAGGACAGGTTTTCTACAAGCACACAACCCCAGGCAGCAATGGACTAGATACGAAGATGATCACTGCTCCTTTGATTCTTTTCTGCGTTTCCTGCTTGGATTGGACATGCTAGCTTATCTTTCCTACTTCCTTCAGAGAACTAGAGCAAGTCACCACTTCCAATATTTTGTAGGCAAGAAAATTAAGGCAGAATTTAACACTGGGCAGTTTTAAATGACCTTTTAGTTGTCTTTATGACAAACAATGCTGCTTTCTTACTATGGTATTAGGATATTTTCTTAAAATCACTTTCTTTCACATGGATGGATTTGTAGGAACACATGGAGAAACCCCCAAAGCAGGGTCTGCGCAGTGTGACACCCCGGAGGAATGCAGCAGTCTACTGAGTGTTGGAAATGGGGTCCAGTGGGTGGGACGGGTCTAGCCTATGTGGTCCTGACCTCTGCCTGAACAGGAAGTGAGGCAGACTGCCCTCCCTGCCTAGCTGCTCATCTATTCAAATTCAGACTGGTGGCTAGCTTTCTGAGTTTGTTAACACCACATCTTGGTTGTTTTTGTTTTTTGTCAGCCATAGAACTTGAATTCAGGGCCTGGGCACTGTCCCTGAGCTCAAAACTAGCACTCTACCACTTTGAGCCATAGCTTCACTTCCGGTTTTTCTGGTGGGTAATTGGAGATAGGAGTCTGGCAGATTTTCTTCACTAGGCTGGCTTTGAACTGTGATCCTCAGCTCTTAGCCTCCTGAGTAGTTAGGATTACAGGCATGAGCTACCAGTGCCCAGCTTTTTAAAAAATTGGTTTTGTTTTTATTTTTATTCAACTCAAATGTAAACTCTTTATGAAAGGCAATTTTTCAGACTCAGAGCGCAAAGAGCCACACAGGTACTGTTCTGTTTCAGAGCTCTGCTGTCTCTGTGTACCGGTCAGCTGTGTGGATTAGGTTTGCACAAGCTGAGCCAAGGCATACAAGGCGAGTCTCTGTGATCTTTATGCATCCCAGCAGTGCTTGGCACAGAGGTATTCTATAAATATATGAACCTAGAACAAAGGCCAAATCTATTTTTACAACCTTATTTGTAAACCAGAAAAAAAGTTATACATGTTGTTATGGAAACCAGAACATTTAAAGCATCAAATAAGAAGAGAGTCTTTTAAAAGATTCTATTCAATTCCACCATCCTTTGGCAAATGTGTATAAAATCAGGTTTCTTTAAGAAACCTCTTCCTCACTGACTCTGCCAGCCCATCTGGACTGCATGGCTCCCTCTCCTAGTGACTGCCTGCTCTGTCGGATCTCAAAGGTCAGAGAGAACAGTGCGGTCGGGCCAGTGACCTGTCCAAGGTCACACACCTGGCCTGGGTAAGATTGCAAGTGACATTCCTTCTAAGTTTGGCTCAAAACCCTTCAGAATGAGATGGATGGCTCATGACTATAATCCCAGTTACTCAGGAAGCTGAGAGCTGAGCATCAGGGATCAATGCCAGCCTGGACAGAAAAGTCCAAGAGACTCTTATCTCTAATCAGCAAAAAGCTGGAAGTGGAGGTGTAGCTCAAGTGGGAGAGCTCTAGCCTTGAGTAGATAAAAGCTAAAGGACAGTGCCCAGGCCTGAGTTCAAGCCTCAGGCCACACACACACACACACACACACACACACACGTGCGCGCGCACACACACACACATACACATACACACACCACACACACACACACACACACACACACACACACACACACACACACACACACACGAGATGTAGGGACCCCAGGTTCTGGTTCGTCAATTATCACCCTAGTTTCCTCTTTCAAAGGCTGGAGTGAAAGCAACTGAAAAGGAAACTCCAGCCCCTAAGTCCCCAAAGAGGAATAAGGAAGCCACACAGGGGGCCTGGGAGGAGAGCAGCCCGCTGAGCTCCCACGGCCCCCACCCAGGACCAGGCTCCCAGGGGGTTCCCTGCCTGCAGGGACAATCGTTGACACCCTTGGTGATCACATGTTTCTGAAACTTCCATTTCCCTCCTTGCTCAAGATGAAAGTACTTGAAAACCCCACAGCAGACGTTTTAATATTTTTTGTGCTGGTCCTGCAGCTTGAACTCAGGGTCTGGGCGCTATGCCTAAGCTGTTTTGCTCAAGGCTAGTGCTCTACCACTTGAGCCATAGCACCACTTCTGGCTTTTTCTGAGTAGTTTCTTAGAGACAAGAGTCTTTTGGACTTTCCTAACTGGACTGGCTTCGAACTGTGATCCTCAGATCTCAGCCTGCTGAGTAGCTAGGATTACAGGCAGGAGCCATCAGTGCCTGACTGGCTAGCTTTTAACCTCAATCCTCAGATCTGAGCCTCAGGAGTAGTTATGATTATAGGCATGAGTAGACATTTAAAGTACAATGAAAGCTATGACATAAAGAATGCATTTGCACATATAGCAGAAGTCTTAGGAGTATGAGTACTCTAGCCTGACTGCTGTCACTTTTTAAGTGGTCCCCTAAGGAAACCCACAAAACACCCAAGTCAGAAAGATACTCATCTCAGTAATGTTTCTAATGGCACACTCTCCATCATAGTATACCGTCCCTTGCAGGGGATGGGTGAACCATCGGTACTTTCCTTGATGAAGGAGCAAGTAACCATCAATGGATGCACTGAGCCACCTGGAGGGTGAGCTGGCTTTTCTACCATGCACCCCTCCCCCCTCCACTAGCAGCAGGTTCCCCCCCCCCCAGGGGTCTTCCACCTACCTGTCGTAGGCACAGTTGGTGCTCTTCTTGACTGTGGTGTCTTCTTGGTCTCCAATCAGCCAAACAAACCTGGGGTCAGTTCTCAGGCGAATGTTCTTCCAAGCCTTTTTGGGGACGTAGCTGCAGCCGGCATTGAAGTCACCCATGAAAATGAAATTCTGGAAGGTAGATGTTGGAACTGTCAGCGGTCCACTGGTGGGTGCTGCTTGAGCTGCTAGCAATAAGTGTCCCCCACATCCAGGGAAAGGGGGAATGCTCTGCCATCACTGTGCCCCCTCCAATCCGTAAGTTCTCCAGAACGCTAGAATGTGACTGTAGTTGGAAATAGGTTCTTAAAGCAGTAATTAAGTAAAATAAAGTCAGGTGGCTAGGCCCTAATCCAATCATATTGTGGTTTTCCTCTCTTTTTTTCCCCAATGCTTTATTTTAAAAAATTAATTGTTATTATAAAGGGGTTACAGTTATATAAGTCAGGTAAAGAGTACATTTTTTGGGGGGGGAACAATGTCATCTTTTCCCTCTCTCTCATTTTTCCTTCTGTCCCCACCTACAAATTGCATAGTTCATTTTCCACCTAGTATCTAGTGTATCTGTCTGCTGTAATTGATGAACCCTCCATTTCTGAGCCCCACATTACCCTCCCAAAGACAGATAAATGAACAAACAAGACAAAAACAAAAACAGTAACAAAGAAAAAACCTTTTGTTTCTATTTCCTGGAGTTCATTTTGCTACATAGTATTTTATATGATCAGATGCACATGCAGATTGCATTTTTAATTTTTTAAAAAGAAGAGGGGCTCTGGGAAGTGCACTTTTTCTTTTTTGGTCGGTTGTGGGTCTTGAACTCTGGGCCTGGGCGCTGTCCCTGCACTCTTCAACTCTACCACTGAACCACAGCACCATGTCCAGTTTTCTGGTGGTTTATTGGAGATAAGAGTCTCATGGATGTTCCTGCCTGGGCTGGCTTTGAACTGTGATCCTCAGATCTCAGCCTCCTGAGTAGGCATGATCCACTGGTGCTTGGCTACATTCCTTTTGTGTGTGAGTGGCGGGGGTGGGGGAGGGGGTGGGAGGGTGGGAGTGGGGGGGCCGTAGTGAGGCTTGAATTTTGAGCCTGGGCACTGTCCCTGAGCTCCTTTTGCTCAAGGTTCACACTCTACCACTTGAGCCATAGCTCCACTTCTGGCTTTTTCTGTGATTAATTGAAGGTAAGAGTCTCATGGGGGCTCTTTGCCAGGGCTGGCTTTGAACTGCAACCTTCAGATCTCAGCCTCCTGAGTAGTTAGGATTACAGTGGTGAGCCATCCTCACCCAGCCCAGCACATTCCATCTGAAGACCTCAGATTTGATATCCAAGGCCACATTAGAAAGGGAGGGGAGAAAGAAGAAGAGGAGGGGGAGGTAGGGGAGGAGGGAGGGAGGAAGGTAAGGAGAGAGGGAGAAAAGAAGGGAGAGAGGTAGAAGAGAGGGAAAGAGGAATCAAGGAGAGAGAGTAAGGAGAAGGGGATGGGAGGAAACGGAATGAAATGGAGCGGAGATTAGAACAGAGAGACAGGGATGTGGAAGAAGATGGTCATCCACAAGACCAAGAGACCCAGAGGGAAGCAATCGCGTTCACACACATGGATCTTGCACTTGGGAGTCTCTAGAACTGTGAGGAAACAACTTTGTGCTTTTCATTCGTGTAGCCTTTCCGTATGACAGCCCTCGCAAATCAATTTGAGAATCTGCCTTAGTCTCCCTTTTAAAAGAAGAGGCCACAGTTTAAACTGAGTGAGAGTTCTGGTAGTGAGTACAGACGTGTAGTAGAGGCGCTGTGGTTTCACAGAGCCCTCCTGGTCTTAGTCACCTGTCTACAGTTCTACAGCTCAGTGCAGGCTTGTGGGTGGGGCCCAGAAAGACAGCTTAGATCTTCCTTCACATCTTTTGTCTCTGGCTAGAAGTACTGCAGGCTCTATACACGTATAAATGAATCAGCACCGCTCTCTCTCTCCCCTACTCATCTTCTGTATGTGTGTCTGTCTGTGTGTGTGTGTACCAGGACTTGAACTCTGGGCCTTATGTTCTTGCTTGGCTGGTACTATACCACTTGAACCATACCTCCAGTCTAGTATTTTGCTGGTTATTTGGAGATAGAGCCTTTTGGAATTTTCTGCCTGGACTGGCTCTGAACCTTGATCCTCCAAGTCTCAGCCTCCTGAGTAGATAGAATTACAGGCTTGAGACACTGATGCCTGGATGTCTAATTGTTTTGAGGTTTAGGAATATATTCTTTGGAGGAAGCGGGGAGAATCCTAGGGGAGAGAGGAGCCACAGGGCACTGGAGCCATTACCTTCCCAGACCACTAACAGACATGTTCAGTTTTGGAAGTACTCCCCTCCCCCACAGGGCCCTTGGACCAGAATTTTCCTGTATAACAATGGAGGGGAAGTGTTAGATTTCCTTGTTTATGCCATTGTGTGGGAGTGGTTGCTGACTTTAAGATTTCTTGACCTCTGTGATCCCCTGAGATAAATGGACACAGCCAAGAGCAACAGGATGTCACCTTAACCTGACAACACCAGACTTGTGCTAATACAGGCACGCTCTGGTAAGCCTGCACGTGTTCCGGCCAGCATGAAATGTTTGGTAACGATGAATCTGTGTCTCACAACATTAAATGCTAGGTGATAGAAGGCACCATTAAACTCTAGAAACAGGATAGGGAAATTAAGTGGACGGTTCAATGTTATATTATCAGATCAAGAGTCAAACCCCAGCTGGCACCCGTAGCTCAAGCTACTCAGAAGGCTGAGACCTGGAGGACTGAGATTCGAAGCTGGCTCAGGCAGAAAAGTCTGCGAGACTCCATCTCCAAATAACCAAGAGAAAACGAAGCTTGGAGGTGTGGCTCAAGTGGTAGAGTACTAGCCATGAGCAAGAAAACCAATGAGTGTGAGACATCTAAGTTCAGGCACTAGTCCCAATGCTCAGTGGATGCTTGAATGAATGATTGTGCAAATGTTTTGAATGAATGAGTCTTTCTCTTGTCCTGCTATTCACAAAGAAGCAATGAAATGCACCCCTCATTTCCTTAGTACCCCAGCTCTGATCAACATATTTACCCTTGACTCATTCTGTACCTCAAGTAGCGGAACTGGGGAGGAGGGCAAGGAGCATGAAAATCACATCCCAAAAGGAGAAAAGGGGAACTTGGAAGGCCAGCTCTCTGGAGCACTTCCCGTAGCTGTTAGGAGCTTTCTCAGATTCCCTCACCACCTCACCCTCGCTGATGGGGCTGGCCCTGTCTTCTGTAGGAGGAAATAGTGGAGAGGGTAGGGGAACAACTGTTCCTCTTTTCCACTAAGCTCCCATCACTTGCCATTGAAGCATTCCTAGCTTCTCTGTGTCTCACTTTATTTGTCTGTCCTGGGCTTGAACTCAGGGCCTGGGCACCATCCCTCAACTTTTCAGGTCAAGGCTGGCTCTCTACCACAACTCTATTTCCCATTTTCTGGTGGTTAACTGGAGATAAGAGTCTCATGGACTTTCCTGCCCAAGCTGGCTTTGAACTGCAATCCTCAGATCTCAGCTTCCTGGGTAGCTAGGATTACAGGTGTAAACTACCAGCTCCCTGCTTGAGCCTTACTCTTAAGGGTTCCGAGGTATGGCACAAGTGGCCCAGCACAAGGTTGATGCCTTGAGTTCAAGCCTTGGTACCACCAAAAAGAAAACCTACCAAAGATCTAGGCCTCATTCTTCTCAGCTGCAAAATGGATCTGATGAAAGAAGCCATCTGTGGGATTGCTGGGCACCGGGCCCAGTGCCAGCTCCTCACTCAGCAATATTGGTATCCGTTATAAATGGGTCAAACTATGAATTCTGAAGGCCACCAGGGTGGTCCAGGCAGATTTGGCACAAAGGATGTTTAAGACTGAGGAGAAGACCTAAGATAAGTCTGAGACGTGGTGGTGGCCTGCCCCACCCCCACCTTCTCTTCCTCCAGGACTAGTTTCTGCCCCACAGGAAACAGACCACACGCAAGTCCTCACCTGTGTCTCCCACCGGCGCTGCACATCGGTGTGGACATCAGCCAGCTCGTCGATCTCTTTCACAGATGTGTCCGGGGTGGAGTGCAGGGGAACGATCACAAAGTCCTTGACAGCTGAGGACAGGACAGGAAGGTGGTCACTCCTTCCTCTGGTAGACTTCTGACCCCCCTCCCTCAACACCGGGGAAACTGGCTCTCCCTTCTAGCAGGTGGGGCCTGTGTCCTGTGATTCCCTGGTTCCCAGGGTCCAGCAATGGCTGAGACTGTAGTGATCTTAAGGTCTGTAAGCCTGCTCCCACTTGCCCTGCATGGCTAAGAGAAAGCTGGTACACAGTGTGTTCCTGGCTGGCACAGTGGCTGTTCCATTCTGGTTTACTTTTCTTCTTCTATACTGACAAACAAAAATAGTAGTCTTAAAACTAAGAGATCTAAGCCAGGTGCTGATGGCTCATGTGTGTCATCCTAGCTACTCAAGAGGTTGAGATCTGAGGATTGCAGTTCAAAGCCAGCCCGGGGCAGGACAGGCCATGAAACTCTTATCACGAATTAACCACCTAAAAACAAAACAAATCAAAACAAAAACCTAGAAGTGGAGCTGTGGCTGAAATTAGGGGAGTGCTAGCCTTGAGCAAAAAAACAAAAATACTCAGGGACAGTGCCCAGGCCCTGAGTTCAAGAACTAGTTCCAAAAAAAAAAAAAAAATAGCAAGGAGGAAGAGGGAGGTGGGAGAGGAGGAGGAGGAGGAGGAAGAAGGAAGAAGGAAGAAGTACTACATCTTCTCCTCTCTAGAATGAGAAGAAGCGCCCGGGTCACCTGGCGCTTCGTGCGTCCCCAGAGACGTGGAAGGAACCCTAAAACCACTGCGCCTGCGCATACCAGGCCGCTGCCTGTTCTCGGGGTGGCTGGGGCAAGGCAAGGGCATCCTGCAGTTCTCACCAGTGTGCGGGGACTGGAACCAAACCACAAAGGGCTCCCTGGAAAACACATCTGCGTCTCCATCCTGGTAGTCATGGTAGAGGTACTTGTCCTTCACCGTCACCAGCTTTTCCCTAGAAGAGAATAAAGGAAGTCCTCTTTGCTGAGCCCCAGGTTTCTTACTGGATTCCCAGGGTGCTCTGACTCTAGAGCACACAGGGACTTTAGCCTGGCAATCAAGGCTGAGTCAACTGCTCTCCACAGCCAGAACCTTTCAGGACTAGGAAGTTCAAGAGGGAATCGTGAGCCAGGTGCTTGTGGCTCATTCCTGTAATCCCAACTACTCAGGAGGCTGAGATCTGAGGATCAAGGTTCAGAGACAGCTGGGGCAGGAAAGTCCGTGAGACTCTATCTCTAATGAATCACCAAAAAGTAGAAGTGGAGCTGTGGTTCAAGTGGTAGAAAGCCAGCTCTGACCAAAAAAGCCAAGGGACAGCACCCAAGTCCTGAATTCAAGCCCAATACTGGCATTTAGGTGGGGTGGGGGGAAGAGAGGGAGAGAAAATTATGCAGGGCATGACAATGAAGGGTTAAAAAAAAAAAAACCCAACAACTCCTGACTCTGGCAAAAAGCAGATGTAAGGAAGTGGTTGGAGTTTTTCAATTTGAAGATTAAGACTGCATCAGGCCCAATTTTAACTGCAATTGTTTTGGCTGATAGAGACCTGGTTAGAGACCAGACCCTGTTTTTGAAGAATGGAAGTATATTTTAACTTGCCATCAGGTGCCGGTGCCCCAGCGGGTTATACTCACTTGTAGAGAAAGGCATACTGTTCTTTGTAAGTGTTTCTTCCAAGTCGGGAGCTAATCACATAGTTGTATGTAATGCCTCTCCTTGAATTTCTAGAAAACATAATATACATTGTGTCTTAAACAATCAACCTGCTGGGCTACATCTGTCCCCTCTCTCCTATCGTTTTCCTGCTCCCAAGGCATCATGTGGATCTTTCCACTCATTCTACCTTCGTTCCAGCCATCATTGCATGGAACTAAGATGTCTAACAAGATCGTCAGTCTTTGGGGGATCGGCCCTCTTTCCTTCTCACCTTTTTTCCTTTCCTCTCTCCCTCCCCACCCCCACCTTCACTGAAGCAAGATTTTACTATGTAGCCCAGGCTGACCTCCAATTTATAATGCTCCTGCTGTAGCCTCCCCAGTGCTGAGATTACTGGTGTGCACCACCATGCCAACCTTTAGTTCTATAAAGCTGGGTGCAATTTTAAACCCTTTTAACATTTGAGAGTACAAACTGGAAGACAGGTGCTAGGGACTCACACCTGTAATCCTAGCTACTCAAGAGGCTAATCACAAGAGGATTGTGGTTTGAAGTCAGCCTGGGTCGAAAAGTCTTTGAGGCTTCATCTCCAAATAATCAGAAAAATGCAAGACAGGAAGTACAGCTCAAACAGTAGAGGGCCAGTCTTGAGTGAAAAAGTTGAGTAAGAGCATGAGGCCCCAAGTTCAAGCTCTGGTACTAGCACTATAACTACACACATATACTTAAAAAGTAGAGAGCTGCTATTGGAACCCAGATCTTCCTATCCCAAACCCTACAAGCTTTGGCCTGCTGCTGTGGGAACCATGGAACCTTTTGACAATTAAGGCAGACTCAGAAACCCCTTCTCTGGCTCTCACCAGAGTTGTAGTTCAAGCTTCCTGGAAGAGTCAAGTTTAAGAGGCCGCCTTGTCTTTCTGCCCCTCTTGAGCATTTACCAGATGGAAGAGCATGTTCTCCTCCAAGAGAATTTCTTATATTCCTGACACTAGCAACTAGGATTTCCAGTCAATATTGTTGATAGGCCAGGGACTAGAGATTCAGCCATGAAGGGGCCTGGGCCCCGCCCCTTCCCTCCATGAGGGAAAACTGCGCTTGCGCCAAACCTTCTTCCAGCCCTACTCCATCAGGGCGAGACCTGATTCCTAACATTTGCTGGAGAAGGATCTGGGGCATGACCAAAGCAGCCTCGAGGACAGTGGGAAAGGAAGGGAAGTGGGGTTCAGGATCAACTTAGACTCCACAGAAGTTCCTGAGACTTCAAATATCATGGGCCCCCGGGAGTGAAGGTAAGAGGTCCTGCTGAACTAGTGTGTGGGGCCTGAATTGGCCCAGAGCTTGGGGTGACCGCTGGAAAATATCCTGCCTAGGGATGGACAAGACAGCAGGGGTGGTAGGGGGAGGTTGGAGGGGAACGGCTCAGTGGCAGAACACAGGCCTGAGTTCGAGCTCTACCAGGAGTCCTCAGAAGAGTCTGGGAAGGTTGGGGAGCACACCTTATATTGACCATGGAGGCTGGAGCCCACCTGTCCCCTCAGCCCCCCACACTCCTGGAAAGTGAAGGGGGACACTCCAGGAGAGGCTGGAAGAGAGAACTGGCTTGGAGTCAGCTGAGATGCAGGTCCAGAGGTAAGCCTGGCTGGATTGCTTGGGCAGATCCTTCCTCTCTGGGCCTCAGTTCCCCCAGAATCTGCCCCTCAGCTTTTGTTGGGGAGTAAATGTTCCAGACATGTAAACTGATCAGCAGGATGCCTGGCCTGGAGTTTAGCTGAGGCATTTATTGTCCCCAGACCATCAACTGCCATTCCAGTCGTTAGAGGTACCACTAGCAAGCCTGATCCATGGCCACCCACCAGGCTTGGTTCATGCTTCTGGGCAGGGGTTCGCTTAATTTTCCTGGAAGCCCAGAAAGATGCTACTACATTATCTCCACTTTACACATGGGGACATTGAGGCACAAAGAAATCCAAGATCCAGACCCAGGTGGTTCAATTCACACATCTCTACTTCCTCCATTTCCACCTTTCTAAGGTCAGACCCAGAAATCTGGCCAGACCAAAATCCTGCTGTGTGCCTGCTGTGTGCCAGCTTTCCCAGCTGTCCCCTCCCAGGCCCAGGGAGCCCAAGCTGCTTATCCACTGATGAAACCAAGTGAGTTTTCCTAACGCTAGAAAGCTAGCCATAGCCAGCTGTTACTGCTTGTCATTGCCAAAGATTAGAATCTTCTCTGTGTTTCTAAGTATGTTTGAGATACTCTGTAAGAAAAAGGAAAGATACAACATTCTCATTGGAAAACATAGAAAAAACACTCTTCAGTTCCTTGTCAATGTGTACTCTGGGATAGGCACCCACATTTGGTGCATTAACTTTGACTTTTTACAGTCTTAAAAACATAATTAGAGAGAGAGAGAAATGAAAAGGGTAACATTGTCCAAAAAGAAATGTACTCTTTACCTCACTTATGTAACTGTAATCCTTTTGTACATCACCTTTATAATAACAAAATTCTTTAAAAAAAAAAAAAACAACATAATTGAGCGGGGCACCCATGGCTCAGGCTTGTAATCCTAGCTAGGCAGGAAGCTAAGATCTGAGGATGGCGGTTCAAAGCCAGCAAGTGGGAAAGTCCATAAGACTGTTATCTTCAATTAACCAAAAAGCCAGAAGTAGAACTGTGGCTCAAGTGGTAGAGCACTATCATTGAGCAACAAAGCTAAGGGATAGTGCCCATCTCCTGAGTTTGAGCACCGGTATCAACATACATACACAGAACTGTAACTGAGTAAACACATTCCATATTATGTACTCTAGCTTGTTGCTTAATCTTATGATTTATCTACAATATAAGCATTATATAGAGGTTTTAAAAGCACATCAAGCTGGAGGTATAGCTTGGTGGCAGAACACTTGCTTCAGGGGCTGGGAAGGTGGCTCAGTGGTAGAGCATTTGCCTTGCATGCATGAGGCCCTGGGTTTGATTCCTCAGCACCACATAAGCAAAAAGAAAAATGCCGGAAGTGGCACTGTGACTCAAGTGGTAGAGTGCTAGCCAAGAGCTGAGGGACAGCGCCCAGGCCAAGAGTTCAGGCCCCACAACCAGACCCCAAAAAAACAAAAAAGAACACTTGCTTTAATCTTTCACATCAAGGAAGCTTGTTAAAATGGAGATTTTATTTATTTAGTCAGTTCTAGGCTTGAACTCTGGGCCTGGGCACTATCCCTCAGCATTTCAGCCCAAGGCAAGTGCTCTACCAATTGAGCTACAGTGCCACTTTTGGTTTTCTGAGTGGTTTATTGGAGGTAAGAGTCTCTTAGACTTTCCTGCACAGGCTGGCTTTGAACTGCAATCCTCAGATCTCAGCCTCCTGAGTAGCTAGGATTACAGGCATGAGCCACTGATGCCTGGCACATGGAGATATTTTGCCAAGTGTGGTGGCATCCATCTGTAAGCCCAGCACTCTGGAGGTCAGGGCAACACCAACTTGGGCTACTTAGTGTCTCCTCCTTTCCTTTGCCCAGACTCTTGATCCTCTCACAAATATTCTCACCCAGTGGTGGGAGGCACCAATGCAAGTTTAGCTCTCTTTTGGAGGGTACTCGGGTGGGTGGTTGCTGGGGTTTGATGTGTCCCCCAAAAGCCTTATGCTTTACAGGCTGGTGACCAAGGAAGTGGTGGAGGGTCTAGTGGGAGGAAGTGAGATCACTGGGGGCTTTCCTTGAAGAGGAAATTAGGATCTTGGTCTCCTCTTTCTCCTTTGTGGGTGCCAAGATCCTCACATACCTCCTTAGCCACATGCTGCTTCCACAATACACAGTTTTACCACGGGCCTCAAAGTGATGGGCCAACCGGCCATGGACTGAAACCCCCCAGATCGTGAGCCCAAACCTTTCTTCCCATAAGCTGTTTATTGCAGGTGTTTATCCCAGGGATGGAAAGCTGAGGAGGCCATGGGGCTGCTGCCCATGCAGAAAGATGGAAATTGTCAATATCAACAGCTGTCACCTGAACCTATTTAAGGACATTGCTTTCTTGAATTTTTTTTTTTGGGGGGGGGTTGGTCTGGTCGTGGAGCCTGAACTCTGGGCCTGGGCGCTGTCCCTCAGCTCTTCAGCTCAAGGGTAGCGCTCTACCACTTGAGCCACAGCGCCACTTCCAGCTTTTTTCTTTTTGCTTATATGGTGCTGAGGAATCCAACCCAGGGCCTCAGGCATGCAAGGCAAGCGCTCTACCACTGAGCCACCTTCCCAGCCCTCACAGCCATCTTTTTATGCTGGAATATTTAGCTTTAAGTTAACCTGTAGTAGGCATGATTTTTAACAGCTGCGTATCTCAGCCTGCAGGTATACATGATGATTTTTCTCCCTCTTTTTTTTTTTTTTTTGGCCAGTCGTGGGACCTGAACTCTGGGCCTGGGCACTGTCCCTCAGCTCTTCAGCTCAAGGCTAGTGCTCTAACCACTTGAGCCACAGCGCCACTTCCAGCTTTTTCTGCTTATATGGTGCTGAGGAATCGAACCCAGGGCCTCATGCATGCAAGGCAAGCACTCTACCGCTGAGCCACCTTCCCAGCCCGATTTTACTCACTCTTGTTTGCATCCAATCTTTTCTTTCTAATTGAACTTCTTAGCTCAGCCTCTTCTCTGCTAGTCTCATTTCTCTCTGCCCCAACCTCTCACCTGGTTTCCATAGATATTTCCATATATATGGAATTATATGTTATGTATATTATCTATTATGTATTATTACATACATATAAATATATATATATATATATATATATATATATATATAGTTTTCCTATATCATACTAAATGAGCCCATGGAAAGTTCCTAGGACTGTGGCTAAGAGAGGTGGGGTTATTGCTGGTGCTCACACTGCCTTCTGTTCGTCTTTGCTCTACAGTACTCTTCCTCTGGGCCTTCAGCCCTCCGGGGCCCCTCCTTACCCGTTCAGCCTCTCCATCAGCATGGGGCAGACCTTGTTGCTGCTGTCCTTGATCTCCATCAGGAGGATGAGGTCACAGCGCTTGATGACCTGGAGAGAGAATTCCCAGGGGTTTGAGGCCATTTATCAAAGGTCACAAAACCTTTTATTGTGCATTTATGATGTTTAGAGTGTGGCACTGAGTGCTTGTGAAAAATAATTCAGTTTCTTGCCTGAATTAGATGAAGGCCTCCCTGTGGTAGGTGTTTTAATTATGTCTGATGTAATTATTGTCATTGTGGTTTGAGACAGGGTCTTGCTCTGTTTCCCAAGCTGACCTTGAACTTCTGGGCTCAAGTAGTTTTCCTGCCTCAGCTTCTCAAATAGCTGGGATTACAGGTGTGCATAAGATGGCCAATGCATTTTGTCATTCTCACTTGATTTTTTTTTTGTGTATATCCATTTTAAAGACAAGGAGGCTGAGGATCAGGAGAGATCACGTACATTACATGACACCTAGAAGCTAGAAAGTAGCCAAGGCAGAATTTGATCCCAAGCAATCTTGAATCCAGTCCTGCACATCCTGCCTCTTCATTTCAACAGTCCTACAAGTAATAATAGCTGGGCACCATTCGCTCCTGCCTGTAAATCTAGCTACTCGGGAGGCTAAGATCTGAGGATTGTGGCTCAAAGCTAGTCTAGGCAGGAAAGTTCAGGAGACTCTGATCTCCAATGAACCAGCAAAAAGCTGGAAGTAGAATTGTGACTTGAGTGGTAGCATGTCAGCCTTGAGGGGCAAAAGAAAAAAGCTCAGGGACAACACTCAGACCCTGAGTACGGCCTTTATGAAGCTTCCTCAGAGGCTGGGCACTGGTGGTTCATACTTGTAATCCTAGGTACTTAGAAGGCTGAAATCAGTAGGATCATGGTTCCAGGCCACCCTAGGGAAAAAAGCCAGGAGATTCCATCTTGATGGAAGAAGCTAAGCGTGGTAGAACTAGGTGAGCCACCAGTGCCTGGCAGAAAGCTACACTTTTTAAATTAAGGATTTATAAGCAATTGGAATGCTGTTTTTAAAAGGAAAAAATAAAAGTAATTGATGAGGAAGGAATTGTGGGAAAGGACATGTTGGCCACAGTTGCTTAGGACATGGCCCTTACTTGTAGATTTGAACATGGATTAAATGAGTTGTCTTGTAGGGGAAACCTAATATGGTACCTGGCACATAGCTCTTAGGGCTGGGGTTAGCTCAGCGGTAGAGATTGGTACAGTACTTGTCCAGTTGCCAGAATGTCCTGGGTTTGATCCCAAACTCCAACAACAACAACAAAGTTGCTATTACCAGTGACTCACTGATTTTCCTAACTAAACATCATGTGGTCCATCTGTGCTATGTACTTTATTCATCTGAGGCCTGGGGTGGGGGGGCTGTCAATAATCTGAACACTAAGGGACCATGGAATAACAAGACTCTCAACATCCAGGGAGACCGAGAGGACCTTGTGATTGCCCTTCCTCCAACACCAAAGGGCAGCACCTTAGTGCCAAATGCATCGAGAGGATGGGTTCGCGCTCACTTCCGTGAGCGAGTCGGGCCTCAGCTTCCTGTTTCTTGTCCTGTTCTTGCTTACCAAGCACATGGGAGCCTGCCTCCAGCTGCCGCTAGCTTTCACTTCCCTTGCACGTGCCCCGGGTCTAATTCCCACACAGGAATGATTCCTACACAAGAGAATCTGTGCTGTAATAAGCGATAGCTTAAGCTCCTAATGGCAGAATTCTGGGGATGCAATTGGCAGCCATCCATCCCCGTGGCGTTAGCCAGGTAGCTTCATCTACCCATGTATCCCTCCTCCCTCTCATCTAGCCATGCATTGGCTTTCCCATCCAGTGTCCCAGCACATACAAGGCCTTCACATTTCCCACAGCTTTATCCTCAACTTCTGCCACAGCATCTGGCACAAGTGCCAGGGCACAGGGGGAGAGGAAGGACCGTGCTAGAACCAAATTTATTCTTCTGGCGTTGTAAGAAAAGTGTGAGAATGACTTTCCTGCTTGAGTGTTTACAAGTCATTTTGTGGAGCTGAAAGTATAGCTCAGAGTGGGCGGTGGGCTGCAGGCATATGAGGTCCCGGGTCCATCCTCAGCACCTTGAAAGGAGTTTTGTTGCTAGTTTCTAATTATGAAATAATATTGGCAATCAGGTGCCAGTGGCTCATGCCTGTAATGCTGGCCACTCGGAAGGCTGAGATCTGAGGACTGAGGGTGGAAGCCAGCCCTGGAAGACAAATCTCTGAGGCCCATATCAAAAAGCCAGAAGTAAAGGTGTGGCTCAAGTGGTAAACTAAAGCAAGAGTGTGAGGCCCTGAGCTTAAGTCCCAGTATCAGTACACTAATAATATTGGTTATTGTAGAGAATCTGAGAAATTCAGAAGCGTCAGAGAGGACTAGAAAAGTCCAGGGGACCTGCAACCTCACACCCCCAGCCCTGTGATTACTTAGTTACAAAGTGGCATCATCATGAGAATCCTATTGGTCCTAAGGATGGGCTATGTTTTTTCTTTTCTTTTTTTTGTACCAGTCCTAGTTCTGAACTCAGGGCCTGGCACTGTCCCTGAGCTTTTATGCTCCAGATTAGTCCTCTACCACTTGAGTCACAGTCACTTCTGGCTTTTTTGGTGCTTAATTGAAGAAAAGAGTTTTATAGGCTTTTCTGCCCAGGCTGACTTCCAACCAAGATCCTCAAATCTGAGCCTCCGGTGTAGCTAGAATTATAGCATGAGCCACCAGTGCTTGGCTTTCAATCACATGGCCTTGAGTTCACATCTTTACTTTATCATTCATCAACACATGACCTTAGGAGGTCACCCAAGCTTCCTGAGCCCCCAGATGCCTTCCCTGTGAATTTAGAAAACAGCCAGCATCCCAAGGACTGATCTCAGCTAGTCCCTGGCACGGTAAGCAGTGGTAATGTTTATCAGTCAGTTTTAGCCTTGCTTCGCTAGCAGAATACTGTTGCGAACTCTTCTTTCACTGTCCTGAAGTATTCAGTTTTCAAGTCTAGTCTTGCTACACATTTTCTCTGGTCGCAATTTCAGGCTAGATGACCAAGGGAAAAATATTTCTCCTGGCTCCATCTCCTGGGTAGGAGGATCCAAGGATGAACTTCTCCCTCCCCGCCCACCCCCTGCCCAGAAGGCCCTGAACCTGAGATTTCCCTAAGGCCAAATTTCTGCATGTTCATAGAAGGAAGGGAAAGTTTAAGGCACTATGCACATGACATCGTACAGTGCACATTGTGTGCACATTGCACATAGAATTGATGGAATCTGGGTGATGGGTATCACGAGCAGGCCTGGGAAAAGGGAACACAGACTAGCTGGGTCTAGAAAATTCTTGGGCAGAGGGTGGCAAATGAAACCCTAGTTTGTGCCTCTAACCAGGGAGCATGTGACTGGAGACCCTGGCATGGGTATGGTGCCTCATGTCTGTAATCCCAGCTCCTGGAGAGCAGAGATCTAAGGTTCAGCCTAATAAAAAGTATTCCATCACAACAAACAAGCCAGGTGCAGTGGCCTATATCTATAATCTCAGATACTCTGAAGGCATAAGTAGGAAAAATAACCTCAAGTCCAAAAGGCTCAAGTGAGACACTACTTGTCTAGCAAGTGCAAGGCCCTGAGTTCAACCCTCAGCACGATCAAAACAACAAACCCACAAAAGACCATGGTACTGAGTCTCTACCCTGCCCCTTCCATGCTGCCGAACCACCTCTCTGAGTTCCAAGTAACTTAGTCTTAAAATGAGCATACTATTTGGAGTGCTGGTAAAGCTCAACATGGGTGCTGTTTATTAAGGACCAAGCATCCCCCCCAAATAAAGACTACCATGAATGGAAACTCTCTGGGCCTCACACATGTACCACCCCCTACTTCCCCCCACCCCCAGCCCCAGGGCCCTGGAGCACTGAGCATGAGCTGTGTCCTCGGTGACTGTGTGGTGTTCCTGTGAGAACATGGGCGCTCACCGGGGCAGGGTTTGGCATTTCCACAATGGCACTTAGCAGGAATGGAGCACCTCGGTGGGAAAGGCAGCCTTCTCCTGCTCCAGCCTCCGAGGGCAGCGGTGTGCCCATGGTGATGAGTCCGGAATGACAGAGTGAGGCAGGCACCTGGCCTGTGTTCTTGGGTTTGGTCCCCACTCTTCCCCTGTCACTGCTACACTGAGCCCGTGTTCTCCATTATAAAGGGGGGAACGCTGTCCAGCCCCACTATTCAGTCAGTGTGTAGGGGCCCTGGCCTCCCAGAGGTGCCCAGCCCATGGACCTTAGAAGCCAGCCTGGGTTGAAAGCCTGGCGCTAGGACATGTGGTGTGAACTGGCGCTGCTGGCAGGGCCGGGGGATGGTCCCTGCGGCTTTGAGGCCATGGGGCACGGTCCTGACACAGTCCTCAGACATGCTGAGTGGGGGAATGGAGTCACTGAGAACAAAGAGCCCGCCCGGGGACTGTGGGTGCTCCGTGGGTTAAATAAACCAGGAAAGAGGTGGGGACTTGGGACATAGTTTCCTTGCCTGGCACAGCTCCCTCTTAGCCATGACATAGTGGCTCCCACAGACTTGGCACAGCTGTCCTGGGAAAACAACATCTGGAGGGCTTAGGGTGTTGTCCAACAGGCAGGGTGACCCAGAGTCCATCTCAGCAAGACCAGCGCAGGCTGGCCCTCACTGCGTCCCGTCTCCCCATGGCTGGTTCTGCTGGGGCGTGGCTCACCCAAGGGCTCGCTGCCCTTGTCCCACCAGGCAGACCAAAAGGACCCCCGGCTGATGGATGGATCAGAACCCAGAGCCCCATCTCACACAGGGTGACCAGCCGGCCAGTGTCCTGGGAGAGATTTTATTTCCCACCATCAAAAGGACAGAGCATCTCCCGATCACAGTGTCCCCAGACACGGGTCATATGACTCAAGGACAGCATCACCAGGTGCAGAGAAAGAATAGCCCTGGTGCTGGAGGGAGGGAGGGAAGAAGAAAGAAAGAAGAGAGGAAGGGCTTGCCTCCCCCATGCTCACCCAGCATCCTCTTCACTATCTCTGCCTACCCAGCTCCTCGGATGACATAGTACCTGACATGAGCACTCAGAGGTAGCAAAAGCCATCAGAAACAGCCAGCATCCACCTAGAACCTACAACATGTACTTATGCCTATGAAGGGGAAGAGCATTGTCAGTCCTGTTTGTAAGACCTGACAGGACTCCCTCCCCCCTCCTAAACTGACCCTTGTCATTGCTCCCATTCTCGATGTGATCACATTCTGAGCCAGCAGCTACCTTCACCTTAAGAACAAACTTTTAAAAATGATTCCTGAGTCTCACAGAGCCTTGCAGATAGGGGGAAGGCGTAAGAGGGGAGCAGGAACAAGTGGGGGGGCTCACCTTCACAATGACATCCATGGCCTTGCCATTGTCCTTCTTGCTTTCCCCAAAGGACCTCACATTGAAGGAGCAGAGCCTGAGGGCCAGGGTGTTCTGGAGGGCCAGCAGCAGCAGCAGCAGCAGCACTGGGGAAGCCCGGCTCCTTGGAGACATCCTGGCGTCCTGGCTTGGGCTGGGTGAGGCTCACTGACTTATAAAGGCAGCCGATAACAGGAATGACCGGATTCCTCTGGGCTTGCTTACTTTCACTTCTCTGAGGAACTGAAGATCGAACATGGGGGGGGGGGTTCCTATCCCCAAGGAAATAAGGTACTGCGCTGGTCTTGGGAGTGAGTCCTTATTTTTGTCACTCTGGTGAGGGACAGTGACATGCCTAATTTAGACACCAGCCACTGCAAAGCCACTCACATCCGAGAAGAACCGGCTGCTCTGACCTCTGGCCACCTTTCCTGTGGTCTGACAGCTGATGAAATGGCCAGTGGCCTCTCCAAGAGGGCCCCTGGGGTGGCAGGGGACCCCTGCCGTCCTCTGGAAGCAAGGGAAATTCCTGTTTTCTCAAAATCACTGGGATAGGATAGCCAGCTGTCCCTGGGTGCACCCACACTGTAATTCTGGAAACACCCGGATAGGTATCAATTAAGATCAGATTTAACTTTTTTTGAATGACATCATCAAGACCCATTTTACAGTGCCCAGTTTACTGTACTAAATGCCACAGTGGCCAGCTAGACTGGCCCTGTAGAGCAGCCCCTGTAGAGAGCCCTGTGGTTCTGGTGTCTGCAAGATTCCCATGACCCCGGGAAAAGAAAGTTTTGCAAGAATTGAAAGATTTTCGAGATTTGGGAGAGAGAACAGATCTGCAGATCGGTAAAGCAAGAGAAACAGGAAATGTCAGGATGTGCTGTGGGCTTTGGCCTGGAGAGTTCCTCAAAGCCAGCCTTGGACCAATGGGGAGTGATGGGGTTGGGGCAGTAGCCATGGCAACAATTCCGTACATCACCAAGGAACATCCTCAGCAGTTAGCATCCAGGCCAGGCAGCCAGGAATTGTAGAGATGACCCAGTGAGTGGTCATGGTTTCCTGAGGGGAATCTCTCAGCTCAGGCCTGACTGGGTCTCTGAAGAGTTAGCAGGATGGTGAAGTGTCTTCCAATTAGAGGAAGACAGAATTAAGTAGCACCTATGCCTATGGGACTCAACCACCACACCTTGTTTTTGTAATGAAAGATGTAATCTGTATTGTGTTTAGAATTTTATGAACTTACAACGCCAGAGAGATTTTTCCAGCCCATTAAGTGGATGTTCTTATAACTAACGTAAAATGTGCAGTTAGATAGATCCATTTAGATTCATGCCTTTACTTGAAATCTACGGACAATTTTAGAACATTTTTAAGGACCCTAGGGTAACAGAGTTCTTTTTAAAAACAAAACAAAACTCATGGCCTGTACGCTGTCTCTGAGCTTTGTTGCTCAAGGTTAGTGCTCTATCATTTGAGCTATAGCTCCACTTCCAGCTTTTTGGTGGTTAATTGGAGATGAGAGTCTCATAGACTTTCTTGCCCAGATTGGCTCTATGAACTGAGATCCTAAGATTTTGTCAGTTAAGGGGCTTCAACTCTGTCCCTCAGATCTTCAGCTCAAGGCTGGCACTCTAGCGCTTGAGCTACAGCACCACTTCCTGTTTTCTGGTGGTTTATTAGAAGTTAAGACTCTCACGGACTTCCCTGCCCAGGCTGGCTTTGAACCATGATCCTCAGATCTCATCCTCCTAAGTAGCTAGGATTACAGGTGTGAGCCACTGGCTCCAGGCAGGGTTCTTATTTTTATATATTAAATACTCAGAAGTGTTTAATATAAAAAAGGTGACTTTAGGCTGAGAAAGTGGCCCAGTGGTAGAGTGCTTGCCTTGCATGCATGAGGCCCTGGGTTCGATTCCTCAGTACCACATAAGCAGAAAAAGCCGGAAGTGGCGCTGTGGCTTCAAGAGGTAGAGCGCTTGCCTTGAGCTGAAGAGCTGAGGGACAGCGCCTAGGCCCAGAGTTCAGGCCCCAGAACCAAAGGGGAAAAAAAAGTGACTTTTTGTTGATAGACAATTGAAAAACTTTTATAAGAGTAAGTTATATTAAATTTGTAAAGGAAGTTTAAAATGTAAATAGCTCCAAAACCTTTGTATAGCTTTTGTTGGATTCAAGATTACCAGCTTTATCTAGTGTAAATACAAACCAGAAGATAAATATGGATTTTTAGATAATTCAGATTTATTTGGGCAGCCTGTTTCTTATCAGGAAATCCTAAATGAACTTATAAAAAGAGTAAGAACTTTCATAAGCTGAACTTGAGGATGGAATTTTATAGGGTAACAACCTCATCAGAGACCTAGAAACATCTGTAGAATAAACGAATTCAGCTAATCAGTTTTCAAAATAACTTTAATGCTGTGAACTTAAGTTTTTTTGCTTAAAATTTTTTTTTTGTTGGTCATGGGACTTGAATTCAGGACCTGGATACTGTCCCTTTTTTTTTTTTTTCTCAAGGCTAGTGCTCTACCACTTGGGCCACAGCACCACATCTGGTGGCTAATTGAAGTTAAGAGTTTTATGGGCTTTCTTACCTGGGCTGGCTTTGAACTGTGATCCTCAGATCTCAGCCTCCTGGGTAGCTAGAAATACAGATATGAGCCACTGGCTTAGAACTTAAGTGTTAAATGGTAAAATAAGCCTTTAATTTGTGGAGTCTGCATGTAGAAACTGCTTATAAGGATTAAAAATGTACCCCACAAGGGGAGGTGGCTCATGACTATAATCTACTGACTGGGGAGGCAAAGATTGAGAGGATCACAGTTTGAAGTCAACCCAGGCCAAAGTTTGTGAGCCGGCATCTCAAACAAAAGCTGTGCACAGTGGTCCCTACATGTCATTCCAGCTATGTGGGAAGTGCAAACAGAAGGATTGTGGTGCAGTTTAGCCAAGGCAGGCATTCAAGATCTATTTGAAAAATAACCAAAGTTCAAAGGTCCAGAGAGTGGCTCAAAGGTAGAGTGCTTGCCTAGCAAGATCCTAAATTGAACCCCCCAGGGCCTGAACTCCAATAAGATTGCACAGTCTGAGGAGTAAGACCCAACTCTGTACGTCCATGTTCATTTCACAAAGTTAGACTTTTATTTTATTTTACTTTTGGTCAGTCGTGGGGCCTGAACTCTGGGCCTGGGCGCTGTCCCTCAGCTCTTCAGCTCAAGGCTAGCGCTCTACCACTTGAACCATAGCGCCACTTCCAGCTTTTTTCTTTTTGCTTATGTGGTGCTGAGGAATCGAACCCAGGGCCTCATGCATGCAAGGCCAGCGCTCTACCACTGAGCCACCTTCCCAGCCCCTTATTTATTTTTATAATAATTATTTTGTGCCAGGACTGAGGCTTGAACTCAGGGCCTTGGCTCCTACTTGGCTTTTTCTCACAAGGCTCATTCTCATACCTTCACTTCTGGCTTTTTGTTGATTAATTGGAAACAAGAATCTCATATTTTTCTATCCTGGCCAGCTTTGAACCTGATCCTTAGAGCTCAGTCTCTTGAGTAGTTAGGATAACAGGCATGAGCTACTAGTTCCCAGCTTAGCTTTATGCATTTTTTAAAAAAGAAATGTTATTTTAAAAAATTACTAGATGAAGGAATTGTGGGAAAGGAGATGATGGCCACAGATGCTTCGGGCCCGGCGGGTCTTCATAAACTTTAGCTTGCTTTAAATGTGTTGAAGAAGCCTAATATGGTACCAGGCACACAGTGAGCTACTCAGCCTCCTATGTAGCTGGGATTACAGGCCTGAGCTGCCAGCATCTCCCCTAACTAACCACTTCTGGTTTTCTAGTGGTTAATTGGAGATAAGAGTCTCATGGACTTTCCTGCCCGGGCTGGCTTTGAACCACAATCCTCAGATCTCAGCCTCCTGAGTAGCTAGGATTACAGGCATGAGCCACTGGCGCCCGGCGCTCTCCCCATTTTCCATAACCAGTATGTTCAGGCTAGTATTTGATAGTTTTAAGAAACAAAATTGGGCTCAAGCCCCATGATGGACCAAAAAAAAAAAAAACCCAAAAGAAACAAAATCATAGCCGCGTGCTGGTGGCTCACGCCTGTAATCCTAGCTACTCAGGAGGCTGAGATCTGAGGATCTAGGTTCAAAGCCAGCCCAGGCAGGAAAGTCAATGAGACTCTTATCTCCAATAAACGCTAGAAAACTGGAAGTAGCACTGTGGCTCAAGCCGTAGAGTGCTCACCTTGAGCTGAAGAGTGCAGGGATAGTGCCCAAGCCCAGAGTTCAAGCCCCACGACCTACAAAAAAGAAAAAGAAACAAAGTCATATACTTAAGTACTTAGGGAAAGGAGGTAAAAGCCTTCCCTTCTTGTAAAGAGGTTGACCTTCCATGCAACCCCACCTTCTATCTGTATACAGTGAAACTCAGGGGAACTCTCCTCAGCTTTGGGGAGTGGCTGGGAAGGTTGAGGTGGGAGTGGGGAGGTCAGGTACCCAAGACAGGTACCCTTCCTATAGTTGCCTTGAGACATGGTCTGACTATGTAGGTCCATCCCTCCAGCTCATGATCCCTACCTCAACCTCTCAGTCCCAATGGCTGGGATTCCAGGTATGTGTCATCACACTCAGTAAGTTGGGAAGTTTGAGGCCATCCCTCTGAGAACCTGGGAGGAAAGGAGACCACTCTGAAGTGTCATTTGGTGGCTGTGGTGGCTGTTTCCTGCTGCATGGACTTCCAAACACCAGTCTGCCAGACACTCCTGGAATAAAAGTAAAGGTGTATCACTCTTTGCTGGAGAGTTACAGTGCATTTCAACATAGTAAATGTCCTGAAAAGTCCTGCAACTTTAAAAAAATTTTCTGTTAGTATCAATTATTGGTACAAGAAGGAGTATTCTTTTCTCTCCCTCCCTTTCCCATCCTTCCTTCCTTCCTTCCTTCCTTCCTTCCTTCCTTCCTTCCTTCCTTCCTTCCTTTCCTTTTCTGTTGGTCCTGGGACTTAAACTTAGGGCCTGGGTGCTTTTTGGCTTAAGCTAGCACTCTACCACTTAAGCCATACCTCTACTTCTGCCTCTTGTGGATAGTTAATTGGAGATAAGAGTCTCACAGTCTTTCCCACCCAGGCTGGCTTCAAACTGTGATGCTCAGATCTCAGCCTCCTGAGAAGCTAGGATTGCAAGTGTGAGTTTCCGGACACTGGCAGAAGGGTTTCATTTTAACAAGCCCATTTATATACACAGTGTTGCTCAGTTGTAAGCCCT